CGGCCCGTGCTCCCAGGCGCCCGCCTTCGCCGCCTCGTCCCGCTTCATGCCCGGTACCATCTGGTCCTTCTCGCAGGCCCGCCGGCTGGGGCCCGGGCCGGAGACCACCCTTGTGCAGGGCCCGGGCGTATCCTGGATCCACCCCGACGGGGTTGGCGTGCAGATAGACACCATCACTCCCGAGATACGGGCGCTCTACAACGTGCTCGCCAAGGTGAAGAGGGAGCGCGATGAGTACAAGCGCAGGTGAGAAGGGATGCCTGGCGCTGTCCCGCCGCGATGGCGGCGGGGAGGGAGGAGGGCGCCCAGGCTGTCCCCGGCGCGCAGGAGGGCCTTACAGATGTGGCCCGTGTGGGGGGAATAGGCAGAGGCGCTTGGAGCGGGGAAGGCGCCAGCTGCCCAGGGGCTCGGAAAGTGTGAAGCAGAGTTGGGAGGCGAGATGGAGGCTCAGCAGAGCCTGGTGTTGCTGTGGGGTCCTGCCTTCCTTCTGATGTGGGAGCTCCCTGGGGGCGCTTGCCTCCTCCATGCTGGCTTTCCAACCCGATGCAGGGAGTGGAAGTTGCTTTTCCAAGCAGGTCAAGTTGGGAGGAGATAGCGGGACTCCCAGAGCTGGGGCTTTCAAGGGATGGATGCCTGGAAACAGCTGGGAAGTCCAAAAGGACGTAGGAAGATGACATGCAGCCGAGAAAGAGCTGCCCTCGTTTGGGCTAGGGAGACTCCTGGGAGGAAGAAGTCCCCCTGGATGTGTGCAGATATGCTGGGCACCCTTTGGCAGGGCTCTTGGAGCCCCCAGACTCTCTCCTTCCCTGACTCATTCACGCACCCCAGGAATTCCTGGGCTCCCCTGGGTAAGTGCTTCGAGGGCAGCCAAAGCTGCATGGCAGCACCCAGCTGCTGGGGGCATTTCGTCCTGCTCAGAATAGCCACAGCTTGGCATGGGCCTGGGGGAAGGGCAGAGGAGAATCCACACTAATCTCTTGGCTCATCTTTTTGGTGATTTTTCCTCTCTGGAGGTTGCCACTGTTGCCCTGCACTTATGGCGCTTCTGTTTCGAGTTGAGCTGAGCAGTGGCTCTCGGATCTGCCCATGGGATGAGGTCGGGCAGGGAGACGACATCGCAGCGTCAGGGCTCAGAGGAGAGCGCGGGACAGGGAAACATGACTAAGGGCCTCTCACCGCACCGTGGGCCTGAGTTTGGAAAAGTAAAGTCACTTTATGATACTTTAGAAGCAGATAAAAATAAATGATTAAGGAGCCACAGGGGCAAATCTTGCATTTTACCTGATTGAAATGTGTTGCTAACTGATGCTTTGGATCTCTGTGGGTTTGGTGTCAAAACTGAGGCTTGGGATCTAGGATGACAGCTTACATTTCCAGCACTATGAGGTGAGAAGGGCTGAGCAGACTTTCCTCTGGAACGGCTGATCATCTATGGGCACTAGACAAGGAATGTTGGGGGCGGGGGAAGTTGGCATTGCTATTGCTTTTCTGTGTTCCTAAAGCCCCTAAGCATTAAGCAAGAGTCAAGCTCTTTTAAACTCTGTTCCAGGGGCAGGCAGCTCTTCTTGCTTTGTGTTTTAGATCGGATGGCAGGGAGCATGTGCCGCATCAGGGCAATATGAGCTAGGAACATTTTTGCCACAGAGAGCTCCAGTCTCACCTGCTCAAAGCTGGCAGCAGGCAGCCAGTGGCAGCGATTAGTAGATTTTCTGAAGGAAAACTGGATTTTCCTTAGGAAAGCTGTGTAGTGCGAGCGACAAGAGGGGCAGGAGGAAGCAAGTTGCCCCTGTGGAGAGGGAACAGGCTGGACGTGCTGGTGCAAGTGGTGCTGTGGAGCCCTTCAGAGCAGAGCCCAGACCACTTTCTTGCTTCCCTCCCTGGCGCAGGCGGAAAGCCCAGTGTGCGACAGTGCTGAGGGAAACGGGGGAGGACGTTGAGGTCCTGAGCAGTGCTGCGGAGGCCCCGCTCCTCCTGAGGCTCCGTGTACCACTCAAGTCAACGCCTGAATCGCAGGCAGCTTCAGTTTGTTGGTGCTGCTGGAGCCTTGGGAGCACGGAGAGCTTTCTGTGCTCATCCCCTTCCAGAGGCAGCTTTGGGCAGAGGCGGCTGGGCAGATCCCAGGGCGGCTGGGGGTGCTGGGCAAGGGCAGTGGAAGCTGCTGTGAGCCCCGGCGCCAGTGTTCTTGGTGCGGCCTATATTTAGGTGGTGTTACCAGGAGAGGCGCTGGGAGAGAGCAGACCCCACCCCCAGACCCTTTCCTGCACCAGGGACTTCCCGAAAGGCATGGCCATCCCAAATATGGGAATGGGAGAAGAGGGTCCCGTTTCCACGCTCTTC